GCGGGCGGCCGGTGGTTGGTGGCTGGTGGCTGGTCGGTTGGTGGCTGGGCGGTGACAACTGGTGGCTACCTTCTTTAACCTTCTGGATTGAGTTTATTTCAACAAAATGGAACCCTACTAAAAAAAAATTGTATACAGTTGTAAGATGTTAGGAAAAAAAACCTGTAACATCTGTTTCAAGCTGTGAAAGAAGGCATCTTAAACTGGTTAAAGAAAGAGTTGGTGGATTTTGTATGGTCTGCTTTATTGCCTTGAAATTCCTATTCACTGCGCCATGTTAAGGGATTAAAATGATATTCCAGTGGTGCAATGGAGTCTACTTTTTTATGTTTACGGCTTTTAATCAGCATAGGTAACCTGGACAGTTGAAATTTCTATGGTGCTGCTAATCTATTTAGTTGGTAAACCAAAATAGTTTTCTTTTTGACATTTCCACTTCAAGTTATTTGAGGGTAAAATCTTAAAACCAAATTTGCTCTATCATTTGGCAGGTACTTTCCTGATGGCATTGATATTTACTTTGAAAATGTTGGTGGAAAAATGCTTGATGCAGTACTACTCAACATGAGGGTCCGTGGGCGAATTTCTGTTTGTGGAATGGTCTCACAATACAATCTCGTGCAGTTCGAAGGTGATCATAACTTGATGCATCTTGTGCCGCAACGCATTCATATGGATGGGTTCGTGGTCTATGATTTCTTTCACCTGTTCCCAAAATATCTAGACATAGTTTTGCCTTATATCAAACAAGGAAAGATTTTGTATGTGGAAGACATAGCAGAAGGCCTTGAAGGTACTCCGGCAGCTCTAACTGGACTCTTCGCCAGCCGCAATATTGGAAAACAAGTGGTTGCAGTTTCTCGTGAATGACTTTTTTAACACCTGCATTTTACTTCGATCATGTTCATTGCTGTTTGTCGAAGCATTATTCCTATTGCCATGTGTTATATATTCCTAAACATTTACAATACTTGCATCTGGGAGGTTTCCATTCATGCTCAACCCTTGCTCTATAGAAACCATGCTCAATCTTCAACAAGAACATCAGATGGTAACTCAGAACGACGGTTCACTTGGACACAAATTCTTGGAGATTGAAGTCTTCAATTCTTGGAGATTGAAGTCTTCCACTTGAAGGAGTTAATAATTTTAACATTAAATATTAGTTCCAAGGCTTCAATATGATTGATGATACGGGATAATAAATAATAAAAATAAAAATAAAAAAAGTTTTAGAAAAGGAAGATAGCTAGAGAAAAAAAAAGGATCGAAGATATGTAAACTCTGTAATATTTTTATTAATTATTAAAATTCTCTTATAAAATAATAAAGAAACATATAAATAGTAAATTTTAAAATATCTCATTATTGGGTTTGACCTATTAAATTAAATTGTTTTTACATAAATAATTTTAAATAAATAAAATAACAATAAGAAAGATTTAAATGGGCTAAATAAATAAAATAATAATGAGATAAATTTAAACGGGCTTAGTCTCCCAACCAAAATGTGACAGGCTGGGCTATTTTACATCGTCTCTGTTTGTATACTCGTATAGTTATATACTCACGCAGTTTATAATGTGGGTATGGTGTTCCCATCAATTGACAGGTTTCATTTTGAAAAAACCAAAGGCTTGGTCTAAAATTTGTTGCCTGTTTTCTAAAGTTTTAAAAACAAAATTAAAAAACTCTGGATTTTACTGAATGTAATTTGAATGTAAATTTAAAATATTTATATAAATATTTTAATGCAAATTTAATGTAACTTGATATTATACTTATAGGTAATTTTTTAATTTTTTTTTAATTTTATAACAAGTTCTTGTTATTGTTTTTGCATCAATTCATTGCAAGTATTTTCCTCGAGACATTAGATAAGACCTGGTTAAGTCAATTCTAATTTTTTTTTAAAAAAATTGTTTAAAAAATATAGTTTTAGTTTATTTATTTTTTTAAAAAAAAAAGAAGCTAAAATGATATAATTTTGGAATAAACTAAATCAACCCACCAACTTATGAGTTGATCCTTCCACACATCACCCGAGTCTTAAACATGTCTTATAACAATAAAATATATAAAATTAAAAGGCGTAGGTTTTTCACTATAGCTAGCATTGTTTACACACCCACAAAACATTATGGAACTCTTATGCACTTCTTAGTAATTCATTTTGGTCCTCAAAGTTTAATTTGAGGTTTTTAAATCCTAATCTAAAGCCAATTGCTTTAGATTTCCTAGTCAAAGGTAAAATTAAAAGAAAATGGACCATAATAATGATAATAAAAACCATCAAACATAAGTAGCGTGCCATAGATTTCAAGAAAATTATATTTAGATCCTCAAACTTTTAAAATAACACAAATTATATAATTTAGATTCCTTGAAGTTTAAAAAATTTAATTTTGATACTAAAGTTTATTTATATTATTTTTCAATTTTTGATTAAAGAGAAAAGGGTTGCTGAATTCTTGTGATGAGAGAGAAAAACATCGTTCAAGTCATTTCTAACCATCAAAATGAGTTTTTTTATGTCCATAGGTTCCATGAGATGAAAGTGACTTAATGGTGGCTTTTTGGTTTCTCAATATTTCATGAAAAGATAGATCTAGGCCAAGAAAAATAAATCTAAACCAATTTAATTATGGGTTTTTGGACCCTTTTAGATGTTTTGAGTTGATGGATTGGTTTGTGAGTATTTCAAGAATGTTGGTAAGGTTTTTTTTTTTGTTAAAATAGCTTAAAATTAGGTTTTTGCCCTAAAAGAAATCCTTCCCTAACTTTGCAAGCATCATTATGGTGATCGGAAACTAGACTTGCAAGCAACACGTTGTCTCTGTATTTTCTTTCAAGAAAATAAGGGTGAATGATAGGTTTTCTAGCCTTTTAATTATTTTTTTTTTAAATAGTTATGTGTGCTTGGGCTTGAAGGCCCACCCACATGCCAAGGCTTTTCCTTGCAATGTCTATGCGCTTAGGCTATTTGTTTTTTTTTTTTTAATATCACTAATTTGTTTTTTTTTGTATTTGCTTATTTAACCTTTTTTGGATATATATATTTTTATAAAATTATTTTGTATGTATTTAATTTTTGAAATGATTTTTTTATTCATCTATAATTTTCTTGTTTTTATCTTCTATATAGATGAATTTTATTTTTTAAAATAATTTTTTATTTTCAGATAATATTTCTAATATGTGCAGTCTTGCATATTATATTTTTTTCTTTTATTTTATTCAAATAATTTAATATGTGTGTCTATTTCTATTATCGTTTGATTTAATAAAAAAATATTTTAATTAATAAAATTTAGCAAACACAATCAGGTAAATGTTTCATCTTGCAAGATTAAATATCTTGATCTATATTTATTTTTTAATTTTTCAACTTTTATTTTTAATTATTTTTAAATTTATTAATATATAGTTCTTAATTTATTTTATTGCATGTATGCATAAACGTTTTTATTTGCACTTAAAAAAATTTAGTTATAAAAATAAATTGAAAAAACTCATAGATATAATTTTTTTATAAAAAATAAAAATATCCCTAGACTAAATGCATTTACATAACTAGTTATATAACTATGTTGTAAATTGCCATGATTGAATAAGCAATTAAAAGGGAAAGAGAAGAGAAGAGAAGAAAAGAAAGTTATTATTTTGGTTTGGGCATAACCCAACAACGAAGAAAACAAAAGAAATAATCATT